TAAAGAGCCACATGGGCAGGAAAACTCTCCAAAAATTAATGCAAGGAACTTAGACAGTTACTGAGTCAATAATCCAGTTTAAAACTATTCACTTTTCTTCCCGTTCCTTTGCAAATGCCAGACAGATAGCACAGAACAGTAAGACCCACATCTGTCCCGTGTGAGGGCATTGCGAGCCAGGGCCCGGCAGCTGCATGGGCAGCATCCTGGGACCCACAGGCCAGGTGGCCGGGTGTGTGAATGTGCCGTGGTTGGGGAGGCCTCCCTGATCCTGGGAATCTGCATCGCCACCGCCTGGGGTGCCGGGGGCTGCCATGGGTGGCAACTATGTCTGCTGGGGACATGGTGTGCTCAGAGAAGACCTTTGCTGACGGAAGCTGGATTTTCCACTGAAGCCTGGTCACAGTCACACATGGCTTTCCTTCTGCCGGACTTAAGCCAGCACTGAGCACGCAGCTTTCCTTCTGCTGGACTGGAGTGAACACTGTGTTCTGCAGGTGAGGAAACCCTCACGGAGACGAGCACTCCCTGCCAAGCTGATCTCGGGGCTGGAGAGCACCCACTCCCAGCAGACTCACTGGAGCCTCAGCCACCGCCTCCTGCACCCTTCCTCCATCCCCTCATGTCTGACACCAACAAACGGCGCCATCAAAGAAAACCTACTGCTGAAAACACCTGTGTCTGATACGGGGCAGGAATTTGGTCACCCCCAGGGCACCTGATTCAAGGGAGGGACACCTGGTACAACGGAGGGGCGTGGTCACTCCCAGGGGCACCTGTTACGAGGAGGTAGGGGGTGGGGGTGCAGTCACTCCTAGGGGTGCCTGAGTCGTGAGAGGGATGCCTGATACGTGGGAGGGGTGCAGTCACCCCCAGGGGCACCTTCTCTGTTCTCTGGCCTCTCACCTGGGGGAACCCAGGCCCACCTCTTCCTTGGGACTGGGCAGCACCAACTACTCCACACTGTCCCATGTGAATGACCACCACATCTGCTGGGCAGCGTGGAGACCCCACCCAGGGTGCCCCTCAGGGCTGTGGTTCTGAGGACGGGGATGCACGGGGAAGCGGCTGAGCCCAGGCTGACTGGACGGCAGGTCCACGGAACGCTCCACCCTGACGGCCCCTGCGCTGGCGTGAAAACCGCCGGGTCTGCATCATCCTGTGGAACCGCCACCACCCATGCGGCTCTATCACATCGAATTAGAATGAAGTGAGATTGAAAGCCGGGTTTCTGGCTGCCCTCGGTACGGCTGCTGCGGGGCAGACGGAGGCAGCGCGCCGTCAAGCTCACAGCAGGCTGCGGTGATGCGGTGGGACTTCAGGACGCCGCCAGGTCAGCCAGGCCTGCAGGAGCTCTGCCGGGTTCCTGCGGACTGTTCCTTTGAGAAGCCGCTTGGGGCATGCAGAGGAGGCTCAGGACCCCCGCATTTTTCTCTCTTCCTGACTTATAATTGCCTCTGACGCTCAGCCTGACGGGCAAACCCCACTTCCGTTGTCTTACCAAGCTGCACGCAGGAGCCGCTGTGTCCACACCCGGGACCCCTTTCTACGGACCTGAGAAGCTGGCGCAGCAGAGAGCAGCCGCAGAGCCAGCAGACAGGGTGTGAGGGACGGATGTGAACTGCCCCGAGGCAGGTGGCGCCTTCTTCCCCGCTGCCCATGCAGCCCCAGCCAGCACGTCCACCAGCCCACCTAGCAGTGCTGGGTCTACCACCGGCCTCGCCCATGTGGTCCTGGCAGATGGGACCCCAGGCAGATGGGCAGCGATGACGCACCCCCTGGAGCCCAGAAAGGGGCCTAGCCAGTCCAGGGCAGACGGGTGAGGGAACACCAGGAGGTGGCGGGAAGGACCCCGCAGGGACTGAGAACAGGCTGGGCAGACCCGCATGGTTGGGCTCCATCTAAAATCAGCTACAGCGGGGGGAATGTGAGGGGAAAAACACGTGTCAAGTAACTCCTGTCTTCCAATTACCATGGATGGGAAAGTGACACAGAAATGGAGACTCCTCAGTTCCTGGGGGGTGGGGACTGGCGTGGGTGGCTCTCGGACACCGTGCTCACTCGTCCTGGAGTGCTCCAGCAGCCTGTGTCACAGCCGCAGCCTGGAGGTTCCTCAAACTCTTGGCTGACTCAGGAGAAAGTGGCCGTTTCTGGAGAACTGTTTATCATCAGTTCACAAAGCACACAGCCCCTTACACACATAGCTATTCGAATTCACATCCTCTCTAGTTTGCTGTTTCAAGTTAAGCAGGAAGGTCGCCGCGGAAGATTTCACTGGTTTATCGGTGAAGGGAATCTTGGAACTCTGGCGTCAGGCAAGTGGCCTCCCCAGCAATGGCCCTCCGTGTGGACCCCTCTGGCAGGGCAGGCAGCTGGGGCAAGGGCTCCTTTAGTGACAGCCTAACACGGAGGACGGAGCACAGGTGTGTATGAGCAGGGACCTGCTTCTTCCTGGGTGGAACCTGGGCAGGTCCTGGAAGGTCTGGGCAGCCCAGCGAGGCCTGGGAGGCAGCTCCCACTCTGCACCTAACGTCCCCCAGGTGTCCAGGGCACCAGAGCCACCTAGACCTGGCCAGAGCTGCCGCGCTGTGATTGCCTGTGTGAGAGGAACTCTTTCTCTAAGAAATAGTGATCTACATGATCACTGAGTGATCACAAAACACTGCTGACGGTGCCCATGAGGCTTGAGGGCTGTGTGTGACGGTGCTCAGGGAGGCCAGGGGGGCGAGTCAGGTGATGCAGGAGAAGATGCGGCAGACCCTGGCCGGCTCCCAAGGCCCCTGCCCTACCCCCCTGCCACGCCGCCTCTCATGGTCACACCCACACCCAATCCCAAACCCTGGTGAGGCACTTTCCTCCTTTTCCACTTGGTACAAAGAGGAAAGCCCCACAGGCCTTCACAGGAATCAGCCCCCCGACACCCCACAGGATCCGGCACCCATGCTCCCCACAAACGTAGAGGTCACAGCACCCCCACCACACCCCACAGGACCTGGCGTCCAGGCTCTCCACTGCCCCCAATGCCTGCAGAGACTGTAGTGGCCCCACAAGTTCCCCAGGACCCAGGTTCCCCATTGCTACCAATGTCTGCAGAGACCAGAGTGGCCCCCTCTACGCCCCACAGGACGAGGCTCAGGCCCCCCATATTCCCCCATGCCTGTAGAGACTTGCCCCACTGGACCTAGCGCCCAGGCCCCCACCACTGCCCATGCCTGCAGAAACCAGAGCGGCCCCCTCCACACCCCACAGGACAAGGCGTCCAGGCTCCCCATCGCCCCGCACGCCTTGTGGTGTGGCCAAGCCGCCGGGCCCAGCAGCTGTCTCCCTTTACCAGGGAAGCTCCCACAGGCACTCCCCCACGGGCCTCGCCACGGCTCTGACCTGGCCAGAGCCAGCTGCCCTTCATGGTGACATTTGCTCTACCAGGGAGGACAAGGCCCTTCTCAAGCTCCCTGACGTCTCCCCAGTTGCTGGGTGCTCGGGATTGATCGGCTTTGGCAGGTTCTTTACTTTCATTCTGGCCACTCACGGTCAGAGTGGGTCAGAGGGGGAGTGCTCATGTGCCCTGTGGGCTCACTGGCTCTCAAGTAACAGGTCAGAGGTGAGCACGTTCAGAGATGCTCCAGACCTCGGAAATGCCACTTCCAGCCCCCGTGGCTCTGCGTGGCTGAAGAGGAGCCTCTGACGGAGCCCCCGCTCTGTGGCCCCCAGGCCTCACTCCCACATCCCGGATAGCATTAAACTTGGGGACACGGATTCCAGCAAGGACGGGCCCAGCCCCCACCCAAGCCCATGCCGAGCCTGCGGGTCGGGAGGTCAGAGGCCAAGGAGAAAGAATCGAGGCACAGGGAGATAAAGACCTGCGTGGCCTGCTGCGGTGTGTGCGCTTTAAAAACGCCTCGCACTCCACAGCCCACTGTAGGCAGAGGCCCTGACTTCCTCCTCTACGGCCAGGTGACGCGCCACCTGGGCCAGGAGCCACTGAACGCTCAGGCACCAGCGTGGCCAAATGGGGCCTTGTGGCGAGGTGCTGCCGGCTCCACACAATTGATGATTTCAGAACACTCACTTCTGCCAACCAGAGGAGACAGGGGATGACCAAGGCCAGCTCAGGCTGTGTTTCGGAAACAATGTCCTGCCACTCTTGTGCGGGTGCACCACGTCCCCGTCCAAGTCCCTGCGCCCGAGTCACCGTGGCCCCGCCTGACTCACCATGGCCCTGCTGTGGGCTGTCAGCTCGTGCCCAGCACCTGGAGGGGCCGCCGGGGAGGCTGAGGGTGAGGGCGGCAGGGCCCGGGCGGGTAGGCAGCAGGTGTTCTTCCATTTCCCACCCACCCCGCCCCCGCTTCACGGCTGCCTGGGAAGTGGAATCCCACGTTACGAGAACTGGGAGGGAGGGCCCAGAGCCAGGGTGGACCAGACCACAGAGAAAAGGCAGCCCTCGTGCTGAGCCTCGGGGCCCACTTTCTGCTGGTGGCACCTCAGTTCCCAAGCTGCTGGGCCCTGGCCAGCCTGGGAGCACCCAGGACCCTGAGTTCCCAGAGATCAAGCGGGTCGATGATCATTAACTCACGCAGAATAACGGTTTAGCAGACAGACAGGCACAACGTTTAAAATGGGCTCCAACAGTCGGACGGGTGCTATGAGGAAAACTGCTGTGATCATGTTGGATGGCGTGCAGGAGCCTGACGGGCTGCGGCTCTGCGGGCACCGAGGGGGTGGCGCGGCAGTGGTTCCTTGTGGGCCGACGATGAAAACCACAGGGCACAGCGCCACAGGACCACCACCCGCCACAACCCCAGGGGCCTGTTCACCTCAGGTTCCAACATATAACCCTCTGCCAACAGCAAAACATGCTTCTCCATTGCAGGATTTTGCCTTACAAAGTGCAGCCCAGGAGGCTGAGGGCGTCACAAATGCCGGTAAAAGACCCTGCTCCTCCGCTGCGTCCCTCAATACAGATGAGGCATGACGTGGGTTGGGGGGAAGCCAGCGCCTACCTCCACGACGGACTTGGAATCCAGCCGGAAGTTGAAATCACCAAAGACAAAGTAGGAAACCTTCTCGAATCGCTGATCGATGATTCTGGAAAAAAGAGGACCTGTTACCAAGGGCACTGACTCCGCCCGGCCCTCACCTGGCCCCCGCGCTCCTCCACACCCCCATCTGCACATCCTCTGCTGTCTCCTGCTACAGGGGAACCTCGCTGGTTGCTTCTTTGCACCCCCAAAATTCAGCTCTGAGACCACCGCCAACACAGGTTCACCCAGCAGCCCTCAGCCCTCGCCAACTCCGACACGCCTATGCTGCCAGCGACACGGACAAAGAGGAAAGCCAGAGTCTCAGCTGTGTCCTCACCTGCAGGGCCAGGGCAGCGTGGGGACCTCACGTGTGGAAAGCCACAGCCCCCCAGGAAGGGGAAGGGCCAAGCCAGGATCCCGAATATTACACCCCAGAGGTCGGGAGAGGCGGGAGGGTGGGACGGGGGGCACATGCAGGTGAACGGCAGGACCCACCGCCCCAGCTATCTCCTCCCGAGCAGGGATGTCCCCTCAGACCTGTTGTGAGGTGTGTTTATATATGATCCCCACTCAGGCATTTCCAAGTGAGAGAGTAACAGTGGCTGCACGTGTGTGTGTATATTTTTAACCAGGTACAGCTTTGCGCAAGAAAAATTCTTCCACCTACGTATTTAAAATCAATTGCAATCCATTTCCTAAAGATTTTCCCATTGCTGCTTCCCTTGATGATACAAGCCATAAGAAAGCCTCAACCCCCTCGAACCCCAAGTCTCCCCTCAGCCGGCTGCGTGCAGTAACGCCGTGAACTGCTTGCTTCCAAGGAGAGCAAGACATTGGACCTTTCCGGCACGAAAGCAAAGCAAGACCCTGTGCAGGGTGGCACCGGCCACAAGACCATCAGTGGAACAGAAACGTGATCTGTAGACAAGAAAAGGAAATACTCTGGTTGCCCAAATTCCTATTTTCACAGCCCAGACCCAGGTGGGGCTGGCAGGGCAGGGAGCAGGCAGCTCAGGGGCTGCCCGTCCAAGCACACTGCATTTGGAGATGGGTCGTTGTTTTTTCTAAATAAACTCAGCGTCATTAGCCAGGCAAAAGTGACAGCTTCCAACCAGGCAACTCTGCAGGCGTCACTGCTGTCCACGGGTTTGAGTCCCACACTGCTGGGAGCACTGTGCCCTCCTGGAGCTGGGGACAGGGGCGTGAGCAGCATGGCAGGGCCCATTGGGCAGGGGCCTGACCAGTCACCAACTCAGCCTTCTGATTAGCCTGAGAAGCAGCAGAATCCGCAGGTGAGCCAATGGTGTCCCGCTTCCCAGTTCTTACCTGGTCCTGTTCTGCGTTGCCCACACCTACTGCTGACGCCTCCACCCTCGGGTTGAAGAGCCAAGGGGCCCCACCTGCACCCTCCAGGGCTCTTACGCCAGAGTGAGAGAGGAGTGTCTGCAGGCCACGCTTCCATGACCGGGTGTGGGTGAAATCATCACCATTCTATTCATTTTTGGCTATGGGGGGTGGGAGTTCATTTGTCTTAACTTGCACACCTTCAATACTTTTAAATCTACATACTGAAATTTGCATTTTCTCCCGATTTTACTTGTTCACAGCCTGCTGTTCTCTTTTGTTCCTGGCCTTTTCTCTCTGAATTCCAGGGGTGTCCTGTGAGCTCTGGAGAGTAACCCCGTCTGCTGTGGACACACGCGCCCCCTGCCTGGGTCTGGGCTTTCCACTGCAGCGGCTTCCCTCAGGCAGATGTTTTAATTTCCATATAGTCACAGGCATCTGTTTCCCTTGTGGCTGAGACGCTGGCCCTGGCCCCCACGGGGACACGGTGCCCCCACCTTCATCTTTAGGGTAGAGTTTTAAGGGTTATCCTTTAATCCATCCGGAATGACAGTGCAGAGCAGGGATCTAAGTTTATCAATTTCTCAAGTGGCTGGTCAATTGATCGGCACCATTTATTCGAAGTGCCCCGTCTTCCCACCAAGTCTGTATCATAACACAGCATTCCCAGCGGCACAGGTCTTTCTGAGACAATCTATTCTCTTCTGCAGACCTTTTAAAAATCCATTCCTGCATGCTTTTAATTAATACGACTTTTTATAGGGAAGTCCTACTTGTTGACAATCTTTTAAAAATCGTCCCAGCCACCTCAGGCTCCTTCTGCCTGTTAATTGCTATAGCTTGGCTTGGCAAATCCCACAAAAGACTTGTTTACCTTTTGAATTAGAACTCCTTCCATTTTAGGTTAAATCTCCTTGTAATATATTTGATCTATTGTCATGCAATTTGCTGAAACCAGCCTCCAGCTCTGCTGGGAAAAAGGGAAACACTTCCTGTTTTCTGGGAGCACAGAAAACTTGGAGGGCGTGTGGAGGAAGACACGGAGGGAGACACGTAGGGAGACACGGAGGGTCCCGCGTGTGGAGGGTGTGTGAAGGGACACAGAGGGTCCCGCGTGTGGAGGGTGTGTGAGGGGACACGGAGGGTCCCGCGTGT